TAGCGGTTTCTCAGACTCCCTCCCCGGAATCGAACCCTGATTTCCCGTTACCCGTTACAACCATGATATTGATAGTAACTACTATCATAACATAAAACCAAAAAGTGAAAAATAAATATAGTTTAAAAAATCTAAAAAAACACGCTTTTAAAGCACATTGAACTAAAAAGTTAAAAATAATTTTTAAAATAATTATGAACAAAAAATACTAGTATTATTAAAGCGTGGGTGCTTTGAGCCATATTTTTCGTATATTGAGCGCCCGACGCTTTTATCATAATAATACTAGTATTTTTTATTCATAATTATTTTAAAAATTATTTTTAACTTTTTAGTTCGATGTGCTTTAAAAGCGTGTTTTTTTNTATTTTTAACTTTTTAGTTCAATGTGCTTTAAAAGCGTGTTTTTTTAGATTTTTTAAACTATATTTATTTTTAACACGCTTTNTGTTTTTTTAGATTTTTTAAACTATATTTATTAATTACAATCTATTACAAAAATAATAAATATAAGTATATTGAATGCCAAGAGCCCAGTTGATTGTAATAAGTATGAAAGATGACAGTTACTTAATAGCATAACTTCTAGTTATGACAAAAATAATAATTATGAAATGTTTTATTTTTATATTGTATATTACTTTAAATTTTTTATTGGTATAATATTTTTTTGGTCTATCTCTTATTGTTTAGTAAGGGTATCAAGACTATTTTTACCGTACTCTCCTTTCATTTTGGTATTAAAATATTTATAACTCCTTAACTACAGACTGAAAAGTTGTTATAAATAGTTGTAAATTTTCTTAGCTAAATAATCTTTATTATTCGAATTATAGTTATATGCCATTAAAATAATAAAGTTGGTACCCTTATAAGGGATATCTAAAATATATTTTGTATGAAGACCTCCGGATTAAACTGTTCATTATTGTAAAAGTATTGTGTACTTGCTTAATCTAAATTTTTAGAAAACGGTCTTAAGCGTTTTTTAAATTTGATTCGAATTTCTTATGAAAAGATCTGATAAAAATGATGATAATGGATTCTGACAGAAAATAATGACAAATAAGTAAAACTAATAATTTTGATAAATGAATATTGTAAAGAGGATTAGAGCAAACAGTGACACAACATCTTTAAATATAATAATAAATTTGTCAAGAATAAACATTCATAAAATACATATGCTTACACAATGATCCATTTTTTAACACTCACATTTCCATATAATTGAAATACTTAAAAAAATTAATTTAAAATTATTTCCGTGTATTATCGAAAAAAGGAAAGATCAATTTTATTTTAAATACTCCCCTGGAAATTGTTCTCCTGGCTCATGGTAAACAGTCCTCTTATTAATTTATACTATATTTGAGTGTTAGTTACATGTTACTATATATATAATTTCTAAAAAAAAGGATTTTTAGATTTATCTGAATTTAACAATGAATTTTTACAATTAAAATCAAATATTATAATACGCTCAATTGGGTAGATATTTTTAACAACATTTAGATTGGTTTTTTGTTGCTTAGGTAAATAATTAAAATTAATTATGTTCTAAATATTTCGATTGTAGAATATTTTTAAAAACTAAAAATTACTTAGAAATGATTTCTATGATTTCTATTTAAGTGATCTATTACAATAAAAATGCAAAAAAAATATTGAGCTTTTCTGATAAATTTATAGTAAATAGTAATTATACAATTTCCTGACTGTATATTAATCTTAACAATACTAATTTTTTATTCATATAAAATTTTCTATTTAATAATGTAAATTTCAAACTTAAAGTTATGGTAACAAATTGAATTTTTTTTTTTATTATAAATTTTCAAAAAATAAATTTTAATGTTGGCACCCATACCAAACAATAAGAGTTGACCAAAAAATTATTATACCAATAAAAAATTTAAATTAATAAACAATATAAAAAAACCCAGCACGGGGGGTTGCGGCACATTAAAATCACTAAAAAAAAACACTTCGATGCAAATCTTTAGATAGTGTTTAATTTTAAAAAATTATAAGGTTTATCATAAAAATATGATAAAGTATTTCGAATGAAAAAGGAATTATTGAAAAATATTATTTCTCATAAAAAAATTGTGTTGATCCATGCACTTCTCAATAAGTTTTAGCATTATAAAGTTAAAAATGTAAAAAATAAAATCGAGAATTTTCACACAAAAATAGCATTTGGTAGCCATTTTCATAACGTAGGCAAGTTCAGATGTCAAATTTTTTTTTAGTAATAAAGTATATTACATTAGCTTTAATTTAAGATATATATATAATTGTCAGTATTTCCGGAACACTTTCAAAAGTTGTCATTTTAAATCCCTCCCTGTGGGCAGGTAAAGGGTTAAATTTATAAAAAAAATATACCAAAAGATATGTAAAGACATCAAACATCTATAAAAAAAAAATTTTTTTGATTTGTTCATTTTTGAACAAGTTATGGCAGTTAAAAAAATATAATAAAAAATCTGATCTTAATATGTATGTGTGTAGAACAAACCCCCTTCAACAAATTGAAGTTTTCTATAGTCGGCAAATTCGTGATTTTGTTAATTAGTCGGCTTATAGGCCTATGTCCTTAGTCCACATGTCATTAATATTTAATGTACCATAAAATAAAAATACCTATCTATTAATGGTGTTGGAAAATCGAACACGTAACACCTCTGTGCAATTTTCGTTCGAGATATATTGAGTGATTTGTTTGTATATAAAAGTTTAATTAAATTTTCTGTTGTCTTTTTACTATGGGCCAATAACTACCAGCAGACCATAGAAGAGAGTCAGTTTACTGTATTAACAATAATTTTTATATTATACTACGGTCTCCTCAGACTATATGAAGTAGTCTGTGCTATCGTATTATCAAATTTATGCACAATCTTCTTTACCATTAACTATTTGAAATTATTTAATTACTATATTTTATTATATATAAATGTGTCATGTTTTCTTGTGGTAAATTAACATGAACAAAAGGGTAAAACTTCAACGTGAAATTATCCTGTAGCACACAGGATAATGTGGCAGAACTTTTGATTATATAATTATAAGGGAAAACATGAAATTTAAATCATGCATGTAATAACGTTTTTGTTAAAATTGAAATTATAGTTAAATGTATTAATTACTTAATATTGAATTTATTAATTTTAGAAAAAAAACTTGCAAACATTCTTTATAGAAAACTATAAGCGTAGATAAATTAAATTTAGTTCAGAATAGGATGACGTCAAAAAATAATAATAAGTATGTTGGTTTTTTTGATATTTAGCTTTTAAAAATATTTATGCATCTTATATTAGATATTTTGCTGACTATGTGTAATGTTAAAAATGAGTAATACCTACCTGTTAGCCTAATATATTTTTTATGATATATTATGTTACCGACTTTTTACGATTTTAAATCCATATTTCTAGATTATTTTTTTAGTATTTAATGCATTATCATTAAATAGTAGGGAAACTGAAAAAATGGCTCGCATATAACTTTAAATTTTAATTGTAAATTCAATATTGCTAAAATTATGAACTTTTTTCGTATTGAGAAAATACAGTTTATTAAAAATAAGTGGATTATTAAAAAATTTAATATCTTGGTTTCATAATAAAATATTTGTAGGGGAGGGTATTTACATA